ACACACACACACACACACACACACACACACACACACACACACACACACACACACACACGTGTGTACTTTACAAAAAGTTTCATCAGTGGGTGAAAAGAAACTATTTAACTAAAAAAATAAAGTAAAACATAATTTAATTGTTGTTCGTTTTTCTTTAACATAGCGATGACTCGTTGTGTAAACCTTCAGACTTACTAGGCTTGCATTTTTTTTGTAAGTACTGTGTAATCAGTTTCATATTCCCTTTTGTTCCTGTTTATGTAACAAACACAAATGCATTCGTTGGTTCTGAAGCTAGGATAGTGCGTCAACAGTGTTCTACAGGAACTACAAAAGGGTGTGTGAGCGGTGCTTCTGTCAGACACGCTCAGCTGTAGGATGTCACTCGGTTGTGTATAAAAACATCAGTTCAGACCTGAAACCTCCAAGAAAAGATAAAAGAGAACTAGTGAGACTAACTTTTGATTTCGGAGGTGAGAGCAGAACGGATGTGCCAGGCAATTTTGCACCTGCTGATCTTGATGACACTCAGCTGTCACTCTTTGGCTGAAAATGAGACAAATGTCACCTGTCCAGAACACCAAAGGGCTTTTGGGGGCTCTTGCTTCGAATTTGTGGGTATCCGGCGCTCTTTCTTCAGCGCTCAAGCTTGGTGTGAGGGGAATGGAGGACACCTTGCTTTTATCCCTGACGAGGACACCCAGTACTTCCTTGAGAGACACATGGACACTAAGGAAGACTTTTGGTTTGGTGTGGCACCATCTGCTGAAGGTAAGAAGTCACACTTGTTTTTATTGTTAGTGAATATTTCCCAGCAGACCTCTAACTGATGACTTTAAATCAAACATTAACAACAAAACGTTTGCATGGACGAACTGTGCATCAGTTCCAAAACTAAACGACCAAAGACGCCTTTTTCTTACTGCACTGATAATGCTCTCTTCTCCTGTGGTTAGAAAATCAATCAGAAAATCAATTCTGTATCTCGGATGGTGGAGAATGCTCAGATTAAACAAGGCACAATACAAAGGGCTAGGAAATCAGCAGTCTGACAAATTATGGTAAATTTGTTCCCACTGAGATTTTCACAGCATAGAGAGAAATGGCTTCATATAACACACTGATTGAGAATTCTGCACAAAGTAAAAATATAAAGTACACTTAAAAAAAAACAATTTACACCCACCAGGTTAGTAGTTGGAGTCAACTTGGACCGCAGTTTATAATAATAAACTTTTTGTAAGCCCCAAATGGTAACAGAAACTGAATGAGCTCTGCTCTAGATGCATTATTGATGCGTGTATGTTCATCAGTGGGCTTTTTGGCTTTTTTGCATCATCAGGTCATCTCTCTTGGCTCGATGGTTCACCTGTCACATATTCAAAGTGGGTGAGCAGTCCAGAGCCTGGAGCAGCTTGTGGCTTCGTCCTGAGAAACTCAGGCTTTCACTGGGAGGCCAGAAACAACTGCAGCAAAAACCAGAGTTTTATTTGCCAGTTTGGTAAGTATTCTGTCAAAGACTGTGTTGCACACTGAATCACTCCATACGAAGAATTACTTTTACACTGCCTTGTAATCTTTTCAGAGTCTGGGAGAACCATTGTGTGTGAGGGTCATAACACCACTCTGCAGTGTGGTTCGGGTCAGGTGTTGATGATAGACAGTGGCTTCTACGGTCGTAAGAGTATTCATTACTGTCGATCCAAGTTCCCTCCACCAGCATCTCCACAACATGAGTGCGGCTGGGCGGACGCTGTAGAATCAATTACAGGTAAAACACGGTCAAATGGCGTCTGAGTGCAGCAACTACAGAGATAACTTCATCATTATTTCATTGTTGATCTTGTAATTCTAATTTATGTGCGAGCGGTCTAATCTGCACAGTGATCATAGCGTCATAATGGTCCCTCTCATTAAACCTGCTGAACTCGGGTAGGAAAACAAACACTGGCGCCTTATAAAAGGTTCTGCATGAATGAAAACTGTGGTGAAATTCTATCCACGTAGAAGCCTTATCTCTTACATCACAAAGAACACACTGTCTCACTGGAGCCCCTTCTTTGTAAAGATAATTGCCCATCGGGACATTTACGTAAGAACGCAAACAATAATGGCTTAAAAGCTTAATTGTCAGTAAAGATACATAGATGATTTCCATCTATCAGAGTAAATATTGACTTTTGAATTTAACTGATGACTGAAGCAGGCGGCCGTTTGTCATCGTTTAACGTTGATTCCATTTCATCCTGTTCGGGCACTGCAGGACTTTTCAGGTTTGGAGCGCATTCACCTTTTTAAACTGTACATCCAATCTATAGCATCTTTAGTGGCATGCAAAAAAATAAAACACATACAATAAAAATCACATTTCTACATATGGATTAGTACCAGGCACTGTCCCACCTTTTATCTACTATGCTGCGGATGTGCCTCAGCTAAAATGACTGACTAACTGCAGACCACCATTCAAAGTATCATTTTTGAATATTCATGGCTTTCACTCAACTGCAAACAAAAGCCTTTTATCAGGCTTTACTGGCTATTTTTACAGCATAATTTCTACATCCATAAGTCTGGTAAGCCTTCTGGTATTCCTTGTCAAAATTAGAACAACCAGAAACCAGATATGGTCCAATCAAATCATCTTTTTAAGCAGAGGCGGAGCCAGAC